CTCCCTCCCTCACTCACTCCCTCACTCCCTCCCTCTCTCCCTCCTTCCCTCCCTCGCAATGCTGCTGGCCCCCAACGCATCTTGATTGTATTTAAATGTCATTAAAATTCTTCCTCACAATAAGTGGGTCACAGTATCAGTATGCGTTTTTAATTGATGACAAAATTTAAAGACATTTCGGAATTGTACATTATTTTGATTTCGTCCTCCTCCACGTGAACTCAGGAATTAGGTCCCTGACCTTTGACTCGGCTTGGCGAAGCAAACTCAGTCTCTATAGAAATCAACCTTGGGCATTTTAAACTTTACTTCATTTCATTGTTCCTGATTTTCCCTCGGTGACAAATGGCTACGTGCGCATCCACCTCTTGGCCATGGGCGTCATGCTGCTCCTGCAGCGACGCACTTTACGGGCGATTGCTCCATGGACGGGCAGAGGGTCCTGGAGACTCCAGTCAGACTCCAGGGCCTGTGCCCCCCCCCTCCCCCTTCCCCCCTCCCCCCTTCTCCCGATCCCTCTCCGCCTCATTCGTCATGGGCCGTCATGTGCTCGAGGGCCGGGGGGCAGAGTCATAAAGCCATGAGTACCGATGAGAGTACTCACTGTTCGTTTTGACGCACAAGAGTTGGCATTGGCCAAAAGGCAGCCTGTTGCAATCCAACAAGCTGTTGGACTCTCCATATATGCCGGTGATGATGTTGATGTGCTATACCTATTCTTGAAAGAATAATGACGCGGTGACATTTGAAGGTACTCTCATTCTACATACCCGGTGGCGTACCTGTACAGGCGTGCGGGTAGGCTTGCCTATCGCCCCCGACTATGGCGCCATGGCGCCTTTACGATCCGAGCGAGTATGCAACACGCTCGCCCGCAAGAATGAAGTATGCAGTACATCATAATTGCAGAAGTGCGCGAGAGAATCAGCCATCTGGTACATTTTGCCAAGACCGTCGGTGTCCTTTTTCCCTGAAAAAAGCCCTGGCAGATATGCAATCACGCAACAATGCATTCTCAGTTACACCCAGTACTCCAGAGAACGCCAAACGTTGGCATTGAAATATACCAGGTGGCTGATTCACTGCGTGCACTTTCGTAGTTATACTGAACCGCATGCACAAGTGCGGGCGGGTTTGCTATGCTCGCTGCCCACGGCTCTGTGGCTCGTGCGAGTAGGCAACCCACCCGCACACGTGCATGCGGTACAGTATAACTACAAAAGTGCGCGGCGTGAATCAGCCACATGGTACGTCAAATGCCAAAAAGACGCCAGATGTTGGCGTTCAAAGACGCCAATATCTTGTGTTCTCGAGAGGATGCAAACAATACGGCGTTTAAAGACGCCAACCAGTTTATAGTGATGGGCCAGAGCCAGAAAGTGGGTCAGTGCCCCATACGCAATGTAGCTAATTTTTGTGTCTGCATTTGAATTCTAATGAACGGCTTTCAAAGTCAGATTATGCACCCTGTTTGCTGATGTCAATGTGATAATGAAATGCAGTTTGCTTTCGGGGCGCCGGAACCATGTCTAAAACGGACTATACTATGGGAATGGACTACCGAGAAAGGAAGTTTGTAATTACCACTTTTATTGTCTGCGTCCCCCCGCCCGCACGCACGACTTGTCAACTGCATAAGAAGCCAGTAGAACCTTTCAGGATTGGTGGCGAAAAAGAAATCAAAAGAACTGAGAGAGTAAATATAGTACAGGGTGAGGGGAAAAATGGGGGTGCTTTCCTGGTTTGTTATTATTCTCTTTTTATTCAAATCACACGAAAAGGCGTACGTTACCCTAATTAGGTGTCGATGGCCCTGGCTGGTTCG